TTAGCTGGACTCTTTTTCTAGACCCTGAAAAACCTCTGATCCTCTAATTAATGAGACAAGTGCTTATATTCTTTTCTAGATGAAAGTGTCACCTACTTCTCTTTCTTGTTGGTGGAACAGTTTGATATGTTGACACTTTGATACAGAAAATAAGATGAGCTGTTGTAATCTGCACTAAGTAGCAGCTGCTAATGTAAAAATAACAGAATGGTTAGAAGTTGGATGTCATAATGTGTCACAACATGACCTGCTCTATCACGCAGTATGTATTTCTCTTACTGATGATGTGCAAAATGTAAAAATATTAAAAATAGTGTAGAACAAAAATATTTCTTCAGTTGTTTAAAACATCTTTTCCAGATTTGGTTTTTTTTTTTTTGCTTGTTCGTTCTAATTCAGGATGAAAGAAACCTTTGTTTGCCCTCTGAGTCTCCTGCTGCCCTGAGAAGACACCTGACCTCTTACTGTCCAGCTAGCCTGCTAATATCAGCAGAAACATTCTCCTGCCCCAGGAGAAATGGGAGCAATTCTCAGTTGTCTTTTTGTGGCTGGATTCCATTTCAGACTCCAGATAACATAGGACCAAAAGAGCAGAAAGACATCTTATGGCCATTTTTCCCCATTTCCCGTTACAGCTTTACCAAGGGTAAATGTCTGGGTCCATAAACTGTAGAAATGAACTTTAGACTCCCCAGACTTCTCACCCAACCTTTTTCTAATCCATGGGAATATCCTGTATCGGTAGAAAGTAAGATGGTAGTAGCAACTACTATGAGTAAAGGAAAACTTGTACATTAACAGGTATCTCAGTCAAGCCAGGGGAAAATGTGGTGGGTGGAAAAGGATATCAGTTCTAATTGGGTCAGTTATAATCTCCATACAAATAAAATACGAATAAGTCATCCACAAGAAGGGTACTTATTAAGAAAGAAAGTTATGTCTTAGAAAACAGGAGATCTAGAGACAAATGAAAATTGCCTGAGGTTAAGCTAAATTTGCCTTTGGAAAGGAAATTAAACAATAGTATAACGACTGAAATGAGAATGAGGAAAGAGGAAATGTGCCACTGGTCTGAGAATGACATGGAGATCAAGGATAATCCAGATTAGGTCTGAAAGTGTGTGATTTTATTTTTTTTTTCTCAGCATTGGGCAATGATGGTGCCAACTATGAGGACAAGGGTTAAGGAAAGTGAATATATGATATGCAAATGGAGTACATTATAGCTGTTCAACAGATTATTGTGCTCAGATTAGGATAAAGAATGGTTTCCATCCCCAGTTCTGAAAGGGCTTGTACCTGAAATTTCAGGAATTATAGTAAAGTTCTTTAAGAAATCCTATGAGTCTTTGTACAGTGTCATATGACAGGAATTAGCAGAAGCAGCATCTATATTCAGAAGGTAAAAAAATGTAATTTTGACAACTACAAAAAAAACTACAGTTTTGACAACTGTAGGCCAATTAGTCTTTATTGTGAGGCCTTAGAGTAAATTTGGAAGGAAAATGTTTTTAAAGCATGGATCCATCAACAGTGGATTGAAGTACAGTTTTCACCCAAGTAAGATCATGCAAGAATTCTTCTTTGGTATGATAACTGCTTATTTAGACAAGAAAACTTTTTTTATATAAGCTGACACATAATCTTAAATGTTTTGCCATATGGAAAATTATTAATTACAGTGGGGAATGTGTATATTGTTATTTTACAAGCAGGCACAAGCTTAATATGGGAAATGCTGCTTGCTGTTAACTGGGTTCACCTAGAGTCTCTTGTTTGGAAGGATGGGCACTTTCAGTTCATGTCTGTCTGCAAAATGTCATGTACCCATGAAGGAGATGAGGGATTAGTCCAAGGCAATAAGGAACTAGTTACAGGAAGGCAACAGCAAACAGCTTTGAAAGAAGAAGCGTTAAGGTCCAAGGATTTCACTAGTGGAATTTCTCTTCGATTTCTTACCAACTGGTGCTGAACCAGTTTTATTTAATGTTGTCATTGAGAATCTTTGGTGGGAAGAGCAGCTGCATATCAGCAAAATTGCTTGATGATGCAGAGCTGGGAGATGTTACTAATAAAATGTGGAGATATTATTAATACAAAGTAAGTTCAAATTGTCTTTGAGAAAGATTGGATTGGCCTCAAGTACTGGCGAAGTTAACAAATGTCTATTTTTCTTCCCTTCGGTTTTTGTAGCTCTTGTGGGTTTTTTTAATCCAAATCACCTGATTCTGCTGTTATTTTTACTGATGCAAACCCAGTCAAATCAGTGCAGTTTTCTCTGCAGAAAAACTGACATAAATAAGAGTCTTCAGACTCTAATGCTACTGACTTTTGTCCTGAAAGGCAAGTGGAACATTGGTGTATTTTTTATGATAGTTCTCCAAAGGGACTAGCCGTTAATCTCTCCTTGAGTAGGTGTGTCAGCTGCAAACATTTCCTTCCAGTCTACCATTTCAATCACACTTCACAGTACAGTGAAAATTGGCAAGGATGTTAATTATTGGCCTCTAGAACAAACCACCTACTTTGATTCAAGCGTGTTTTCCAATTTTTAAGAATGTTGTTTCACCTACAGAACAGTATAATTACAGAAAATAGCTTGGTTTGGCTAACATCTTGTGTTCTGTGAGTTCTGCTTGCAAGGCAGCAAGCAGCACCAGGCAAGAGGCTCACCTGCAGAGGATTTTAACCTCTTGCTGACAGAAGCTAGGGCTTGCCAATATCCAGTACATTGTTCTTAGTATCAGAAGCTCAAAACCAGTGTCAGTCAGAGGTTAAACATTAACACTTTCTGCCTTTAAGGCTGAGAGAACCCCCCATATAGTAAGAAAGTTTGTTTTTATTCTCTATGGAACTTTCTGTTAAAATTTTATGAATGTCTGTTACAGGAGCAATTACAGCAGTGGGTCCTGTACCCGGGCAATGCAAAACCCTGGCTGCAATATGACCCGCAGAGCAGCATGGTTCATGGTTCAGAGACTGCCTGTGTAGCTGCATTTGTGCAATGCAGTGTTCAATAAAATTTGCCAGGAATCAGCCATGTGTCCAGGACATAATTAATCGACCAGCAGAATAAATTGCCCATAGATGACTGGGAGTTGACAGTAAACAATAAAACACCTGCCTTGAAGACTTACAGTCTGAGACAAACAGGAAACAGAAGCAAGTGGGAGCCCTGTTTTAGGAGAGAGATTTTGAGGCACAGACAGAGTCATTCATGGTTACACAGAGAGTTTGGCAGAGTTAGAGGCTGAATTATGTGCATTTCCCTTCATGGATTTGTAGCTCATGTAACAGGTCTTTAATTTACCAAGAAACTTTTCCGCAACGCTGTCCTGAAGAGTTGGCAGAATCCACAGTTGGCATTTCTCACACATATGGCTCTTGGTTAAGGGCTTTACAATTTGTACAATTAATAACTTACACCATGCATTAAAAACATTGAAAACAAGCCCAATGGTCAGTCTCATATATCAAGGAATTGCTGTGCAAGCCCAATCTTATTTAAATCCACCGATTTAAAGATAATTTATATGGTACCTGGGCCCTCAAGGAAGTCCTGCAGTGCTATTGAAACTGAACATTTTAAAATTAATGGTGATTAAGCTATAGACCCATATTAAATATGCTTGAGTACGTGTTTCTCCTACCTGCTCTTTAACTGTAAGGCCTGTCAGGGCTGGCTACCTTCCTGGCTTACAAGCCACATGCTGCAATTTCCGTAATGGTCATGAGTCACACGCCCTTCGCAGTTCAGTGTGAATCAACAATGGGAGGGGGAACATCCGGTAGGGTTCACAGATGGGAGATGACAAAAATTGCTCAGGGATTCCCTCACTCCACTATAAACCAGATCCTGGATGAGAATACACCCAGATCCCATCATGTGCTGTTGGTGCTGGTGTCTGCAGTCCCTGTTGGCCCATCGCCTGCCACTGCTCAGGGTTCTGGATATCCAGCAGCTCTTCTGCTGCTAACATCAGCCAGGGCCTCCCACTATAGGAACTGCACTTAACAGCCAGGGAGCCATGTGCAGACCAAGAGTCGTGCATCAGTAGTTCATAGCCAAGCGCCTTGCTTCACTCTCTATATGGCAGAGTGCCTTGCTTCACTCTCTATATGTTGGTTAACATTTTTGCACTATAGGAACACATATATATTAATATGAAATAGGTTTACTGATAACCACTTGGCTGAGCTGAAGAGCTCTAACCTTAGCCATTTAAAAATTAACTATATACATGAGGGAAGCCATTCAAAACATGGAAAAAAAAATAGAATGAATTCCAATGCTAGAAGACGAAAGAATTTTTTATAAGAATTAAATAGGCAGTGTGTCCTGTTTAGAGCTGGGATAGTGCTCATTTCTTCCTGGTAGCTGGTACAGTGCTCTGTTTTGGATTCAGTATGAGAATAATGTTGATAACACACTGATGTTTTAGATGTTGCTAACTGGTGTTTACCCTGTCAAGGACTTTTCAGTGTCTCATGCTCTGTCAATGAGGAGGTACACAAAAAGCTGAGAGGGAGCATGGTCAGGACAACTGACTGAACTGGCCAAAGGGACATTCTGTACTGTAGAACATCATGCCAATATATAAAATGGGGGAGTTACCAGGAAAGGGAGAAGGAACCGGCATGACAGTGGTTAGCAGGTGGTGAACAATTTGTATTGTGCATCACTTGTCTTTCTTGGGATTTATCTCCCTCTGTCCTTCTCCTTTCTATTACAATTATTAGTATTAGTACCATTATCAGTATTATCTTTTACTTTGTTTCAACGAGTTTGGTTTTCTTTCCTGATTCTCCTCACCATGCCACAGCAGGGAGAAGGGAAAGTGAGCAAGCAGCTAAGTGGTACTTGGTTGCTGGCTGGGGTTAAACCACGACACAGTGTCACATAACAATATAACTGGCTGAAATGAATGCACAGATTGTTATGTTTTCAAAGCAATATGGGTATGCAATAAATTGTTTATCAGTTGTTTTTTGTTTCACAGGCAGAATTGATAACCTTGCAACTAGAAAAAGAAGCTGCTCTTCAACAGTGCAAAAAACTAGAAGAAGAAATCCAGACATTGCGTGTTTATTACAGGTAAAATGATTGATTCTAATATGAATGAGTGACTCATAGGGGAAATTTTCTGTACTGTGTCTGACTGAGTGAGGAAATGGCCTTATCAAATAGGTATTTGTTCAAAAAATGTGAATACATCAATGAATCAAAGCCTGCATTTCTGCTTTACTGCTCACCAACCATCTCTTTGAAGTCCCTTTCTTACAGCCTGAATTTTGTATTAGTTTCTTCTAAGGGAAGGGAAAAGTTGCTGATAGTTGATTCTCACACAAGAATCTCTATAAAAGCTGTGCTGTAGCAATGTGATCACTTAAAACACATGGACGAAAGAACCAGTTTACATAAATGCTTGTTTCTTCCCTCTCTGCACATACCTAACTTAATCAACACAGATTTTGAAATAATAAAATCTGTAATTCTAAAAGACTTTTTTCTTCTTCAGCCTCAATATATGTGTGTTTTAATTCCTTATGGTCTGTAGTAGTACGTAGAATGAGAGAAATACCCATTCTCATTAATTTAGTTGGGCTGCACTGAACATTTGCATAGATCAGTGGTTTTTAGTCCCTGAGGAAAAGCTCTGTGTGGTCCAGTGAAGGAGTTAGGTTGTTTTATGGAGTGATGTTGGGTTACAGCTCTCATTTCATCCTGACCTCCTGTGTGAGAGGGGATACAGAGCTGCCAGCAGGTTAAAGGCAGGAGAATTGGCATCAACACAGCAGAAAATTGTGAATCTGAAGGCTGAATGTCTGTGATGAGGGATGTGGGCTGCAGAGGTAAATAATAAATGTAGTGTGAATACTATGTTCATTGGAAATAAAGAGGACTAGTTAGTTATGACTAAACAGCATTTGCAGTAGCAGAACTGTGTATGTTTTCAGTGTTTCAGCATTCACAAGTGAAAAATACTCGGGTTTCTAGAGGTTTTTCAAGTTTCCCCTTCTCATTAAGTTTATTAAAACCTTGGAGGGAAGTTTCAAAAACAACTTTTGTTCCTAAATCTCATAGGCATTTATTTAAAGCCTGTTAATAGTGAATAGAAACCCCAAGCAATTTGTGATTATTGCTTTTAATGAATTTGGTCAGCATTTAGTGTGTGCACAAATTATGGTATGATTTACCAAGCTAGAAAGAATTTATTATAGTGCCCTTATTCCTCACTTAAATGGATTTTGTAGACTAGTTTAAAAACTTAAATGCAATTTTTGTACTGATATTTCAGAAAAAAAAAGAATGTGCTTGTGTTTTTCTCTGCACATTGTAGGAGATTTTTCATTGATTTCTGAGCTATACTTTTGGCATAGCCTGTCAAGTTTGCACGAACATATAATCTTTAACAAGTATAGTAAGGCAGCAACTCAGTTTACTCATGTAAACGCTTTAAATCTCAAATAATGACTTACAGGAATCAGCATTAGAGTGTACCATGTTACTAGCTTATAGCTCTTTTAACAGTTGAAATTTCACTGTAGGTTGGATGATGACATTTGCAAAATCTACCCATTAGGTGTGGAAATGCTCACCTAATTATCCCCTGGGGCAAGAACTATTGTATTGCTGCTAAGTTATACAAGTTATAACATCTAAAGGGGAAGATTTTATCTCCTTCCTTGCTGTTCTAGAGGCTAATGCATTCTGAAGTGGAACCACAGAGTGACTAATTGAGGTTGGCAGGGACCTCTAGAGGTCATCTTCTCCAATCCCTGCTCAAGCAAGGCCAACCAGACCTGGTTGCCCAGGATCACATCCAGACGGGTTTTAAGTATCTTCAAGGATGGAGACTCCACAACCTCTCTGTATGGAGACACTGTCTGTCATACAGAGGCATGACTTGAAAAGCCAAAGACCACCCAGGGTTGAACCTGGTGAGGGAGGTAAAAGGCAACAGGAAGGACTCCTGTAAATGCATAAGCAGCAACATTTGATGTCTCATGCCTATCTTTTGCCTTGATTAAAAATTAATTGCATTATTTTGAAGATTCTTATGAACTTCTTAACATTTTGGTTACAGTTTGCCCTGCGTTCCATGAACATCTGCAGCCTCTGTCATGCAACAGGGTGACAGTACTTTGAACACATGCTAAATGAGACAGAAAAGAATATATGTCACATGTGCGAGTTTGGACTACCAGTGTGATCAGGAAGCCGTAGCATTTACACTGTAAAGAGAGACTGAGGGTACTGCTCTTGTACAGCCTGGGAAAGAAAGAATATTTCTTTCTCTGGTGGCTCCAGGGAGACCTAACAGCAGCCTGACAGAGTCTATGCGGAGGTTGTCAAGAAGGGCAGGCTCTTGACAGTGCTCCATCACAACAGTGAGAGAAAACAGACTTGAACTGAAGCAAGATTGTTTCAGTCAGATTGTAAGGGAAAACTTTTTTGCCATGAGGGCCGTCCATCACTGGAACAGATTTCCAGAGAGGTTTTGCAATCTCTATTCTTGGAGATTTCCAATGCCTGACGTGATAAAATCATGAGTAACGTGGTCTGATCTCATTGTTGATATCACTTTGAGAGCAAGATTGATTGGCCTAGAGACTGCCAGTGGTCACTTCCAACTTGATTATTCTACAATTCTGTGATCTGATAGCTGCTGCTGTTTGAAAACATTCATTTTTTTTTCTCCAACTTTGAAAGAAGTCTATGTTGTAAACCATACTGCTTTTCAGATGATGTGAAAAGTGAATCCTAACTGAAACTGGAGTTCCATGGAAAACCTGAATGACCCAAACCAAAATTAAAATGAGTTTTTGTGGAATTAATGATGAAACATTGATTTCCTTATGAGTTTTGACTTTCTGAAAGAAAGCACATCCCAGAACAATTTCAGTCTTCTTTAAAAAGGAAAGAGAAGTTAAAAGGAAGAAAGAGAAAAGGAGGAAGAATCTAGTTCAGATACAGAAAGGAAAAGAAGTTGGCTCTGAATAAAGTTTGGCAGGTTTTCTGCTTCTGTTTGTTCTTATTGTATTGCTTCTGTGTCAAGTTTCAAAAGGAAACTTGTGCTTTCTGGATACTAACTCAAAAATACATATCAGAAATAAAAATTTGCATAATAGGAACAGTGTAGAGTTTCTAGCTTACTAATTATTTCAACACACTACTCTTTATGCTAGGGATTAATGCAAATCATAGATCCTCAGTGACCAAAGAAGGTTATATCCAAATAATCAGTTTTGGAGTATGTGGGATTGTTAATCCCACTACCTCTTTCTCATATAGCTCTGTTGTTTGAACATCATCGCAAAATTTTATTTGCATATTTTTCAGTTATGTGATCTGTCCATTTTTATAATCAGGTTCCTTCTTCCCCTAAATTTCTATGCTGAGCATCACACCATATGGTATGGTATATCCCTTTGGTCAGTTAGGGTCAGCTGTCCTGGCTATGTCCCTTCCCAACTTCCTGCATACTTCCAGCCTGGTGGAGTGGTGTGAGAAGCAAAAAAGGCCTTGACTCTGTGTGAACATTGCTCAGGAATAACTAAAGCATACATGTTTTATCAACACTTTTTCCAAAATGTAGTCCCATACCAGCTACTATGAAGAAAATTAACTGTATCAAAGCCAAAACAAGTACAATGTTGCAGAGTAATTGGAATCTGTAAGTTATGGCCAGCATGGGAGAAAAAGATGGCTTAATTTACAGTGATGTGATGTTTTTCAATAAAGAAATAGAAGAATAACTTCAATTAGTATGACCTGAAATAAATATTTTTAGATTCAAACTTTCAGTTAATATGGGTAGCTTCTCTGTCAGCAATGCAAGCAGTTTTCTTGCTCCCTAACCAGTTGTATCACTTTTATAAGTTATAAAGTGTTGAAGAGATTTATCAGAATTCAAATCTACAAGTTTCAGTGTTTCCAGTACTTCAGTTAAATTGGAATTCATGTATAAGTGACACAAGCAAATGGTCTAAATAACAATGATTTTTATTGAGATCCGTATATTTTTCCCACAAAGTCTCTTGTAAAATAACAAGGAGGTTCATCTTTTTAAACATTGAAATCAATAGCTGTGAAAGTAGAAAATCAAGAAGTATTTTTGTCATTTCCTCAAATGAAAGACTTACAGGTACAGGGACAAACTCAATTTTCATTTTAATTACAGAACTGAATCACCCTATAACAGGAGAATTAGATGAGGCATTATTTGCAGTCCCAGACAAAAAGGCTGTTTTCTATTCAAGCTTTGAATACAGTTGTGTGTTTTTGGTTAAATTCCATTCTATAGTTTCGTGACTGATGTTATGGAATATAATACTCAGATGGTACCATTTCAAGCATGCTCCATGGATGCTGTGTGTGGATATAAAATGGTTTAGTTCTTGCTGTTAGACTGTTGCTCTCATTCTGGTCTTAAGGACTTTTAAAAACTATAAATTATTTCTACCTAACAGGTCAATATTCATCTTCGCAGCCACTGCAGTAGCAAGTCAGAATACAATTGCTTAAGAATTCTGACTCCTGTACTCTGACTGACCCCTGCTCAAACATTTCAGCCTGTTTGTTCTGCTATCTCGCAGTCTTTTTGAGAGTTCTCTCAATCCAGATTTCTCTCAGAGGAGAATGATATGTAGCAGAAGACTGGACTACTCTAACACCCAGTTTCCCAGCCCGAATGATCTGGAACCCATTTACAGTGGGATTAGTGAAGCTGCAACCACTTATGCAGAGTAGTGATCTCAGTCCTTCCTCCAAAGCAATATTGGGCTACCTTGAGCACCTGTCCCTGCAATTTACCTCAGAGAACTGATCTTTTCATACCTCAGAGAACTGATCTTTTCATGCCTGTTTTTTTATCTCACTTTTTCAGTTATGGCCGTTGACTCATTTTCCTGCTCCTTTCATCCTGTCTGCTTGCTGCAGTTCTGGCAGTTGCTGTCATTGTTTCAGTACTGGTTGCTTTAGACACAACATTGTATAATTGCAGTCAGTAAGAAGAATGACCAGATAATGGTATCACTGTAAACCCTACTGTTCTTTTAGAACTATTTTGGGGAGATCATGGAGAAGACAGC